GCTGCAAACTAGAGAACAGTCAAATAGTAGAAACATAGTAAGAGACAAATACTGTACGTGATATTGTTTAGGCAATGCTCTACTGAGTGTGTTAGTCTTTGTGTACCTGTTTGAAAAATCCGTTCTTAGATATTAGGAGATGTCGAGCCATGTAGTTGATCTGCAGAGTGTAGCGAGTGTGGGGAATGAGGAGCTGAGGGAGAGAGGGAACTCTCAGTAACACTATTACTTACAAAACAAAGATAACAAAGTAAAGAATGCTTCTATGATGCTGCTTCTATACCATTTAACATTGTGAAATACTTGCAAATATATACACACTAAAACCTTATTGTTTATCCAATTTGGAAAAAAAATATGACCAAGTTTAATATTGTTTCTTGCAGTTACCTTGTACAGTGGATGCACCATGGGAATGTTGCGCAGCAGTGACACTGCAAACACTTCAGCCAGCAGGTGAGTGCGCAGCAGGTGAACATTGAGTTGATGCTCACTGAAGTCTGCACTTCTCACAAAAATCTTGGCCATCAACCAGTCGTACTCAGAATCAGTAGGAAAGAAGATGGGATTGTCATCTGCTGGAGTCTGCTTCAGCTGCAGGAGAAGGAGATGATGATTCATTCATCAATACAATCATTAAAACTGCTCAGTGTGTCTTTAGGTGATAGTTCCCAAATTTGTTGAGAAAGTAAACCAAAAGCAAAAAGTGAAACCAAGAAAAATGACCAATTATTAAAGTGTTGAGCTGCTGTTGGAAACTGTCTTTCAAACTTTTCGGTATTTTTCTAGGAATACATTTGAAAGTTGTCTGGAAAATGTGGCAAGAGGGATTTTAAAAATTCTAAAGTAGGTATTTCACACAGTCTGACTGACCCCATTGCTTAGTTGGCTGACTCAGATGTTCAAGCTTTAAACATTTTGAACAATAAGTCTATTATAATGAATATCAGCCATTAAAACCTGACATCTGCTTTATGTAACTTGGTAACTATAAACCAGCTGCTGGACAATTGTTATGTATGTAAGCTGTGAGTCAGACTATGGATGGCCTGTCACTTCAATGGCGATGACTCATACAGCTTTTATCCAACTACCAGTAGAAATATATAGCAGTAAAATATTTGTGAGGGAAATAAAGTATGTCTACCGAAGCACAATCGAATCCATACATACACTATAAAACTCACTACACACCAACTCTGATTGACAGGGTTGTGGCCTATTACATAGCAGGCAGTTATCTACATGTCCAGTAGTATCATGTATTTAAAACAAAATATATGATAGGTAGGCCATTCTAGAAAAGATCCCTAACTAAATGTTACTGAAGGAGTCCACATGATGGTGCTATAAAGAAAAGTTTATTCTTAAAACATTTAAAATAAGCCTATAAAGCCAATATCCTCTGTCTAATAAACTCAAATCTCAATTAAACCTGCTTCATCTGGCAGTAAATCTCAAAACCACCAATCTCAGTCTCACCTGAATAGCAATCGGCATCAGCTTATCATCAGGGGTTTTGTGGAGCAGGACGAGAGGAGCCATCAAGTACTGCTTCTTCCCCATTGGGTTGCTTTCCATCCCATCCAAACCTTTAGTGCCAAAACAGGAACATCATGTTGCCTTTCTGTTTGAAATTTTAGAGCTATTATAATTTTTGCAGTTTGGTTGGCTGAGAAATGAAGTATAACAGGCCAGTCACAAATTTTACATTTTGACATGGACCAACACTTTATTGCAGTGCTGTTGTCCACACAAACAAGCTATGTTATTAT